AGTTTACTCAGTGTTACAGGTCAAACAAGAGCTTTTCAAGGGCCTCTATTGGAGTTAGCTGATGCAAGTGGTGAAATTGGACGTATATATTCCCCCTTTTGAAAATCCCCCCAGGTAGTTATGCAGCTGCTGTTGTTTTGCCATTTGGTGGGGAATAGATGCTGCCTTTACACCGTTTACTGTCATTTCTGACTGTTGTGTGCATTTACCTCTGTCCTCCTCACTTCTATTTTGCATCTAGGTTACTTATTTCTGTGTTTTAGCTAGGAATCTCTAAATGTCTTAACATACCCCCTTTTAGGATTGTGTATAGAAAACAAAGGGCCAATTTCAGTCTGTCTTTGAGTAGGGATGGCCACAGATCCATGCTTTAGAGGTAGTATGAACTGTGTGGAGAACATCTGATTAATTATCATTTTACTGGGAGAAAACACACAGAACGGGGTGTGTTCAAATCCTCTTCATCTGCTGCTTCAGCACTGTTTGGATTTTGAGGTTTCCCTCAGAAACCTCACTCATTTTTTACAGTCACAACTGGATGTAGGGCATAACCCTTTCCCGTTTGGGTCATGCAGAATTCTTCCAATAGCTTTAACTGGAAGAAGCTTCCTGAGGTCAATATGAACTTTAGTTAGGATCATGTCAACAAGGGAAACACTGGATCTCATAATAACATGTATCTAGAGCTGATCTTGTGGTTCTACTCACCACGTAACTCTCACCCATGAACCCAGTCCCACCGGAGTGAATTTGAGCACCTGTGCCTGTGTGAGTTACACTGCTGATGGGCTGTTTTATCCTATGCAAAAGTGATCAGCCATTGGTGTCTCACATCCTAGCCGTAAGGTCTGAGTCGTGCCTGTTAACTGCTGAGGCTTACACTGCCCAGTGATGTCAGCTGGAGTCTTGCATGAGTAAGCAAGCTATTCTTTCCTGTAATGAAGTTATTTGATTGTTCTGTAAAGTATGTTTAAACTGTAAAGGAGTTTTGCACAAGCTGCTGCCAAAGCCGCACATCTCATTCCAAAATTTCACAGTACAGTTTTATGAGGGCAAGAGTTAGCTACATCTGAAAAACAGGCAGAAGATAAAAGAAGCCAGAAGCCAGAGGTTAAAGAAGTCAAAAGGGTGTGTAATGAGCATTAATAATTCAGATAAAAGACAGAACAACCTAGTGAAGATTTCACGTTTTATTGTTATTAAAAGTTCATTATGAAATTGGCACAGCACATAAAAATAGATCAGTGGTGAATGATACATATTGCTATTACTTCCCGGTCATTTTGTGCACACCCTCACTTTTAAAATCAGAAGGTAACAAATAGAAGACATTTCATCAGCTAACTGCGAAACCAGTGTTACTGCAGCAGAGGGAGGCTGTGCTTTCTGTTGACTCTACTCCAATGGATAATGCAGACAGAAATAGTCCCCTATTCATACTTCAGAATAAATTCACGAGAATGAAAGAACAGATTTTTAGAGTATGCCCCAGCTGAAAATAACTGGAGAGGGAGAGCTAGAAATACCCCTTTTTTTAATGGACCTATTTCCATTAAAGGCAAAGGGATTTTTGCCATGGATTTTAAAAGCAGTAGGGTATAGTTACTTTTTGACAGACAGATGGAGAGGTCTAGCAACAGAAGCTAGGGGGGACCTGTGGCAAAGTGTGAGTTTATTATTTTGATCTTGCACATGCTGCTGAATCTCCTTGTTGTAGTAATCGTGTATGTTCATAACAGCAGTGATTGCGGGGAGGAGCTGGGAGGGTGTATCAAAGCCAGATAAAGCATCTGCAACTCATTTTTTCTCCCTGTTTGGGTTGGTCTTGGTTCTAACCCCACACACCATTCATTGCAAAGTGACTTTTACCTGTACACTTTCTGATCCACGTAAGAAAATCAGAACAATACCCATGATTACAAAAAATCTCACCAGGTCACCAACTGTTCCTAGCTTTTCTTCCTAACTCAGTGCTTATCACAGTGAGTATTTAGGGCTGCCCTCAGTCTGACTCTTGTTCCTCATACGGTCCCATCAATTCCAGGGGTGCTGGGAGGTTGCTTAGAGCCACCACTAACTGGCTCAGCAGAATTGCAGTTCTGCAGTTTTCTGCATTAAAAGGTCACTATAACCAGCTGTGGTGTGGAAAGCAGCGCTTTGGATTTCTGCAGGCAGCACCTCTCCTGGATGGGATGCAAGATGAGCCCCACATCAGATACATTGCTTGAATGTCTGTGGGGAAAAAAATACCTCAGTGGCATGGCTATTCCTATTTTTTATTTGGGAGCCTCTTTCAAAGAAGGCAGGTAGGAACATGAACCTGTTCATGCTTTCCAAACTTGTAAGCAGTGCTGTTTTTTGCCGTGTCTCCTGGCATGGAGTTGCAGAAAGTGGCGGCTAACAATGTGGCAAATGCCCATCCTTGGGAAACTGTCATGCAGCTCCACAGCCTGTGCTCTTGGCTGGCTCTGAAATGCCCACTACCTCCCTCTGAATTCACACTCCATTAGGACTACAGCACATCCTGCTACCCCAACACTACTACCAAGCTTGAGAGCGCTGTGGCTACTCTGTTCTTGTTTCCTCCACAGGGAATAGTTTTAAATCCCAGAAGATAAACATCTCAGTGCTGCTCCCTTACATGAAAATTTCAGGGCTTCAGTCGCAGCCTCACAGCAGGAGAGTTACAGGGGTGGAAAGCTGGCACAGCAGAATGGTGAATCAGGCTCTCCCTTTGGTTTTCAGGCTGTTTACTCAAAACAGCCCTTGAGAAAGATGCTATGCCTCAAGCAGATGTCACAGTCAACCGGTTTAGCAATATTACGCCTATTTCTTCTCAAGCTAGTCAAGGAGGGGAGGGAGAATATAATATATGTTAGTGCGAGTTCACATAGACAACATATGAATATTTAATACAAAATGTTCTTTCAAGGTGGGGCAAACATTTCTAATTGTGACACAAAAAGAAGGTATTTTGTAACATTTTTAACAACTTGGCTGTGAAAAAGCGTTTATGTGAAATATGTTTAGACACATACTATCTCACAAGATACTGAAGTATTTCAAGGCTTTTTCTGAATAGGCAATAACCTCTTTTTTTTTTATTAAATCAGCTTTATCACAGCCAATTCAAAACATAACTAATTTGGTTGTGTTTTTTTGGTTGTTTTTTTTTTTTTGCTTTTTCCTCTTTGGAAAAAATAAAGCTATACTAAATTGAGGGATTCCACTCCATATGGGTTTTTACCCATTCAAGGCTTCTTTCATTTCCTCATTCAGAGGAAACCACAGAAATGTTCAACTAAGAAATTCTAGCAGATTTCAGAAGTTGGTTCACACACTCACTTAGTCCTGAAGAATTGCAGCTTCCAAAAAGCTCAGAGACTACTTGTCCCTACTGAAAAACATTTTGAAAACCTGGCCCAATTTGGAAACAGTCTTACTTCAGGTCTGGTAGGGCTTATATCCAAAATGAAGATCTGAATAATCCCTAAATTGTGGAAACCAAAAAATTCAGATATAAATTTGGCAGCACAGTGTCCCATCTTAAACATTTGGATTTGGCTCAAAGTCCAACTGAACAGAAACATTTAAGGCTTCAGCTTTCTCTGACTTACAGCACACAAGCGTTCAGCAGTTGCTTCTGAACGTGATCAGCCAGCGTAAGCCAAGCACGCATGGAACAGCCCTTGGTTCCATAGACATCATCCTTCTTTCACCTGCCATAGCCTTGTACTGCCCAAGAGCAAAAGAAAAATAAAAAGGCTTCCAAACTGGTGTTAGACAAATAGATGTGGGAGCCTTAACTGTGACTTTCTGCCCTTTCCTGAGCTCTCAGCCAAACCCCAACCTATAAGAAGTGGGTTCGCAGCTCTTCTTGCCTCAAAGCCTGGCTCAGAAACCACAACTAGGCAGAATCAGGTGGTGGGCACCATGGTTGGTGGAATTATGCAAAGGCAGAATCGGGTTTGAAAAAGCATTTTCCCGAGACAGAAAATTACGGGAGCAAGAACAAATGGGAATGCCCAGCACAGCGGGTGGGAGCAGAGGCAAGGTCATACCATTGGGCCCTTGCTCCTGACAGAGATGCCACTGACACCGTGGTGCATCGAGTTCATGTTGGCATCCCTGACGAAGCCACGGTGCTGTGCCGAGCCCGTGCAGGACAGCAAAGTCTGAGGGCTGTGGTAACCTACTGGGAATCCCAAGTGGCTGAGAATTCAAGTCAGCCAACTTGCTTTTTCTAGGCTACAGTAAAGGCATGGAGGGGAAATCTCTACTGGCATTGTGCTGTCAGGGAGATGTCTTTTGGTTTTGCACTCCTGTAGGGTCCTGGTGCTACTTACTCTCTCCAGCCTCCTACTTATGGCCCACTGGACTAACATAACAGCCTCAGGCAATGGCACTGCATCAGCAAACCTGGCTTTACATCTCTAGTTGGACAAAGCGCTAGGCAGGGAGGGTGCCAAATATCTCTCCAAATAGAATTCATCTTCTGCCTGCATCTGCTTTGGAACCATAAAGCATTTCCAAGCTAGAGAAAAATCCAAACACCTCATGTAGAAGCACCTTTCCCTTGGATTTTTATTATCATCATCATCATTGTCATTTTTAAGAATATATTTTGTACCGAAACACTGTCAGCATTCTTTATACAATGGAAAATGACACAGTCATCATGTAAAAGAGTAAAAACAGAGCAAGACAGGAACATTTCGTATCAAGATTCAATCTGGAGTACAAATAGAATCTGATGTACAACTTAAAAGCCACACACCAGATAAAAAGATCATCTGGAAAATAATGGGTTCTCTCTTAATTTGGAAGGAAGAATAGTCAGGGAATGTCAATGTTAAGGCTAAAAATTCAATTTTTAACTTGTATTTTACAGGTGGCAGCCTGATTCTTAATGCGCCTGCAACAGCAGCAGCAACACCCCCCTGGCTTTACAGAGATTTGCACTTGCATGAAATAAGAATCAGGCTTCTATGCTCAGAGGACTCTGATTGACCTCAACAGGCTTTGGACTAGAGCCACAGTTGGAATTTCAGCTTGCAGTCTAAGGCTTCTTAACTGCAGGCCAAATTAGCGCAAAATGAGGCTTTGCAACTGGCATTCTACCCTCAACTTTGGATATTCCAGTTCTGGTTACTTTAAACCACAGCTTTATTGCAGGTTTAACATAGTTGTGTTTGTGAAAGTCTTCTCTCTCTCTCTTTTTTTTTTTAAATACTGTGCTACAAAGGATGTTTTTGTATTCTGTGTCTTAGAAAGTCCCTATATTACATGTTTTCAAAATTGCCTAAATATATGTTTATCTCATGATTATAACTACTCAGAAAGACCTGCTACAGTCTATTGTGAGCAGCCAAGGAAAAAAGTGTATTTAGTCCTAAAGAAGTCAAGAAAAGTGGCTGTGTTCATTTATAGTGTAGCGCAATGACTGTGTTTATACAGCTATACCTACTATTTAAAAAGCTACTTGAAAAGTTATTATTCATGTGCAGTAGCTGATTTTCAAGCATTAATAACTTGGCTGTCTAGACAAGTTTTAATTGTCATATCAAAGGCCGAATACGTTCTCAAATGAGTGCAAAAAATCTCCCATCTCCCCTGCAAAGAGGCTGGTTCTCTTTCTGAACTAAGAGGCTGCCAAATTTAACTTTTTCTCAGGTTATAAAAGCACAGTTAAACCTAAAAATTTGCTGTTTAAATGTTTAAAACAGATTGACTTTAACTCAAACCTATCCTGCGCAGCAAAGTTAGTAAGACCTGAAAAACAGTTTCTAGTGAATATGCAAAGAGTTCCCCCTGCCCCCACAAACTACCATGCCCACATTTTCCCAGGGCCTGGAGGGCTCCATTAAAACGTAACTAAATGTTCGATAGGAAACAGGATTTTTCAAGAATGATATGTAAAGTTTACCCAAAGAACCTAAGACATTTTGTACATTCAAAATGTTTACACTTCGCTGTTCTTAACCATCAGTAAGACTGTTAATTTTTACTAATAATACATACAATGAGTATAAATAAATAAACTACAGATAAGCTTTAAAAATTGTATTAACAATACATTGTGCAAAACTCGTAACAATCTACATTCTATGCAAATACCCTGACTAAAATATACAGGCTGTGTCCTCACACCCTCATTCAGTTTTTGCACAGTCCTTGGGCCAAATCAGTAGCTGGGAGCAATCGGCAAAATTCCATTGAAAGCCATGGAGGTAATGGTGATTTACACCAGCAGAACAGCTGGCCCCCAGGTGTGTGCAAAAATCCCACAGAAATCAGTGGGAATTGTGCTTGACTAAGGACTAGACAGTTTGATTGTACCCCATTAAAGTGAGTGGGAGTTTTGCCATTGATTTCCATGGAACCAGGCTCAGGCCCCGGGTAAGGACATCAGCACGTGGCCCTATGTTGTGCTACACTACTCCACTTCAGTGCAGAAACAATATTTGCAAAAGAAAAACTTTTTTGTTGTTGTCACTGCTGTTCAGTAACTGGTATTAGCACTGCATTTCAGAAATTGCTTTTCTGTGAGATTTGAAACAAGACTGCAAGTCTTTCTGAATCCATTCCAATTTGATTATCCAGCACAGGTGGGCTATTTTGATCCAAGAAAAACGGCTCAATGTGTATTAACCAACAGTGTTCTTCGTTAGGATAAAAAACAGCCTGGTTCATCGGCACAGGAGTGAAGAACTGCACGTGGAAAAGGAACGAGGCAGCCTTCCTACCATAGCTGTGTCCAGAGCCGGCTGTCACTTCTCCAAACAGATGATGGCACCTGAGCCAGTTTGGAATCTGGGGTCCTAACAAGCTCAGCCAAGTTTTGTAAGCTGAAGATCTCCATTTATCTTTATCGTGTCAATTGCTGACAGTGTTTCAATACGGTGGTAAAAATCAAAGAGCTGATGTCCATCCACAAATATTCTAAAACGGGGATGCTCGCAAAGTATCTCAACCTGTAAAAAATAAAATGATAAAGCATGTTGTTCACGGTGTAACAGGGAAGTTATTTCACAGAATACAAAGAGCACTCCATTAGCCTTTAAATCATGTTGGTGCAGTTACACATTTTGCTATTTATGTGCCACGTAATAACAGCCAGGGCTGAGACCAGTTTGCCCCCATCACACCAGTTACACTATGATGGATCTGCTCTTACTTCACAGGGACTTTAATCCAATCTCACACTGTCGTGGCGGGAAGGACTCTGGAACCCAGTCCCACTGGCATCAGGGAGGTTTTGCCTCTTGGAATAATGCCAGAAACAGACTCAAACTGCTAATTACAGGGGGAAGAAATTGTATCTCCAACCCAAATCTTGCATTCCTTGCTACAGAACTTTTTTTGCTGCAGAATGAGGGGGCAGTTCCCTCTGCAATGCTTTCCAGGCTTCTGTTAATGTACTGGAAGGGAGCAAACTTGAAAGGAGGGATAGGTTTGTCCTCCCCTCCCACACATACTCACAGACCTGCTGCAAAATTAAAAAGCCTTCACTATTGTGGCTGCAGACAGCCCGGGACTCCCTGTTGGAGTAGGCTCCATATGGGGGCCGCAGTGAGGGAGAAGCGGTGCAGGATGGCTTGCATTCAGCTTTGTGCATGAGGCACAAACAGGATCAGGGAGGGACACAGCTCATCCCTCCTCCTAGAGCCCTGCAGAAATGCTCTGGAAAAGCAACAAAGCCTGGAGCTGAACAGGCTTGGACAGGTCGGGAGATTCCTGATGTTAGGGGTGGCTTGAGAGGGTGCCCTGTAGTTAAGCTTTGCTGGAGCTGCCCCAGCAAGAAGCAGGGATACGAGGGCACAGAACGTGCGCTTCTTGTACGGGCCCTGGGAGACTTCCAGGTCCAGACAGGCTAAGAAGAAAATCTGCAGAGAAGCCACATGTAAATCCTGGGTCATTTCAAGAGGCTGGTAGTCTGGAGTGAAGTGCTGCTTTCAGGCACTTGACTCCACTGCTATTACAGTGTATAAAAATGGGAACGGGGCCAGAGATAAACCAAGTGAGCCAAAGCCCAACTGACTTAGGGCACGTCACAGCGGAAGAAGTGGCAGCAGACAGTCCCGGAGAGCTTAAGCTCCTGGGGACCTGGTAGTGCACCACGTAACAGGGAAGCGCCTGCGCTGCTGCGTCTCTCCCATGTCACTGCGGCAGGTGCATCCAGCCTTAGGCCTTGTTATGTAAAAGATATGGTTAGCCTCAACAGTGCTTACGATCCATTTTTTTAGATCACCCTGGGCCACACCAGAACAATAATTGGACGGATCACAAGTAATTGGCAAGAACACTTAATAGTCTTAATTTATTCGCTGAGAGGGAGACCATCAAAGGTACAAAGTCAATTTGGAGTCTAAATTCCATTTGTGTATATGGTGAAAAAAGGGGGGGGGGGGAGGAAGAAGAAAAAGAAAAACACTTTCTACAATATGAAAAAGAACAACACTTTCTACACTATCTCATGCCAAATGTGCAATACTGCTGTCCTCTAACGTCAGCTATCATTAGTGGGACACCCACAAAACATGCTGTGGGTAATTTGTTTGGCTTGTCTGAGGGTGCAGCCACCACCCACTGCAGCAGGTAGTATAACCCCCTCAGCCAGTGCAGGACCAAGCCTCCAAGCCCTTTCCAGTGCATTTCCCACATGCAGCAAAGGGTGTTGCCAGTTCTGATGGGAGAGTTTGTAGAAGCAAGCAGAGCGCAACCGATTCGCAGCAAAACCAGTCACAAACACCCTCTCAAAGCCCAAGCATCTGGGGAGACTGTGAGCTTTTGGGGTTGGGGGAGATTATCTTGGAGGCAAGAAAGATTAAGAGAGTTTGGCAGCTGGTCAGAGCACTGGCATTTAGCAGAGGGGCCAGCGAGGTTTCATAAGAGGCAAGGGGAGGAGGAGGGGTTTTCTGGGTCAGCCGCATGGAGAAGGCGTGCAGCCTTTTTTCCTCAACGTTGTGAAGCCACTGAGAGAGAAGCGGCCCTCTGCAGCTGCATACTTTGTTAGTCCTGATTTGCAAAGACATCTTCACATAACCATAAACACTACAGATGGGAATCTGCTTCTAGGTCAATCCAGTCCATCCCTTGCACCACAGCATTTCCACATACACCCTTTTCAAGTGACTACAAACTTAAATTTGACAGGAGATTTAATCCCGGGGTTCAGAAAACAATACCACTATTGCTTAGCTGTTTAATCTGCTAACACGAAGGGCTACGGTCAACCTCAGCGTAACATCCCTGGAGACAAAGGATGAACAGAATCCTTATTAGCTGCACTAAATTGCAAACACTATGTCCATTAAAAAAATCATCAAAACATACAGCAGTCCCACAGAGTATTTACATTTCCCAGTAATAACTTGTAACGCACTAATAACACAGAGGTACTTTTTAATTTATAGCTATAAAACTAAGCTCAGGAAGCATGCTTCATCACACAGCATCGCAACCTCTGACTTCTCATGGCACCCTGGTGAGGTGTTCACAGCCCCCTCTGAACTGCCCACAGTTGCATGCAGCGGCGGGATTTCTGCGCAACTTCTGATCAATACAAACAACCTGGCAACCGGTGTCTCAACCGGAGGAGCGTGGGCTATGCTGTGATTTCACGAGAGGCAAGTCGGGTTCTGCTGCAACTCTGATCATACTACACTTTATCAGATACGGCGCGAGCCGCTGTCATCCTGGTACTCACCCTAAAAGGCTGGTCCGGTATAAACGGGAAGTAAGGAATAGATGATTGCTCTTCCCCCCATTCTCCAGCTACACAAGAGTTTCTGACAAACTGTCTGTCTGTAAACACGGCTTTCAGTTCAATAGCTACATCCGCAGGCGGATCTTCCGACTCCCCGCAAGTCAGACTGATGCCAAAGCTGCAACACAAACAGAATGGCTCTCCTTCAGCCAGAAGCGAGCAAATAAGCCCCAAATGCCGCCGGTCTCATTTCTCAGCTTATTAAAGCCATTGATGGTATAGCGGCATGAGGGGGTGACAGCTCGTTCAGGGAATGCTCTGAAAGCTCAGCAAGGACAAGAACATGGTTATAGCATATATATATATATGTGCAAGTGCGTTGTGCATATATGTGTAGATATAAGGATATATATATGCTCTATATGCTCCTTTACTCCCAACTGAAATGTTGGGAAACAGGATCCGTTAAAGAAATGCCCCCTCTGTGGGTCAAAGGAGAAATCAGCACGCTATATTTAAAATGATAAAAATAATCCCTCTCCAGAAAGGAGGGATCCGTGTGTGTTTGTGTATATGTGTGTGTG